AGAGTTCCCCTACCACTTAGTGGATTTTAAATGGGGGGAACTCCCCCCCCAGATCCCCCCAGCCTGGAGTGTGGGCTGGGGAATTCTGGGAGTTGAAGTCCACCCATCTTAAAGTCACTGAGGTTGAGGAACCCTGATCTATACTACGGCAACTAGTAGATCTACCCTGTGAGATTCTAGGAAGTGGCTATCCTGAATCTCTTACTCTTCTCACGCTCCCCCTGAGGACTATGTTGCCTTTTGCCTCTTTTCCCCTCCTGGAATGCACCCCCTCCCTCCTGATAGCCTTGATCTCTCATATCACTTTCCTCCTTGTAGATACCTTCCATCACAATTAGTATCTCCATAGATACATCAACCCAGTGCACTAATACATTCATGGGAGAGGTGTCCTAAGTGTGATGGAATGGACTTATGAAGGCCAAGCTCAGGGAGATAAGCGTGTTCTTAGCCCCCAGCAGGAGCGTGGGAAGTTCAAGAAGATGAAGCTGGCACCTCCCTAAGGAATTCAGGGTGTTGTGGCGGGCTGGCTTGGGAACTTGGGTTCAGTCTGGGGAGATTTTCTGCCTTGAGGTTGGAGCTAATAAACGCAGCAGAACTGTATTTGCATTGTCTCTTGGAGTTCTTTGGGCTGAACCTGACACTAAGTGATCTTACCTAATATTATTAGTAAGTTGTAAGTATAAGCAGACACAGCTACATGGTATTAATTTCTAATCAAGAGGACATTGGCTCACTTTGTTCTACCTAGGTGTTAATGTCTACAGGTTGTAAGTATTAAATATCTTTTATTTTAACTGGATCTTCAGAATTTCATAAAAGGACAGGTGCATCCCCTGAGCCCAAATTCGATGCCCTTGGAGGCTTTTCTGAGCAGGTGAAATTAGACTTTTTTTCTCCCCCCCCCACTTCCCCTACAATCATTTAGGATTCTGCTTAGTTAAGTTGGGTTGTTAGCTAAGAGGGGGCGGTTGCTGACTGACAGTCCATGGCTTTTGCTTAGAAGTTATCTTCCATGAAAAGACTTTCTAGCAGGGGATGCCGAAAAATCAGGGCAATGCTCTAGAGCAGTGTTTCTCAACCTTGGCAACTTTGAGATGCGTGGACTTCAGCTCC